TCTACTACAACACAACTGCTTGTGTCGTGTTGAATATGAGGAGAAAGTATGGGTTTGAAAACCTCTAACCTTGTGAACCCTAGAGACAACCTTGTTAACTTTGGAAACTTCGGGAAGGCAGAACCAGGGAAGAGGCTAATTGGACAGCCAAGGGAAGGCCAGACTGCTGGGGTAGCAATGTGTGACCTTTTTTTTTCAAGGCTATGGAATGGCTTAGATGACTCTGACGTTTATCTATGAAGCATCTGCCAAAATTACAGATACTGACTGTGGAGGTGACTTGTTGGGTAAAGTGATGCTGTGTAGACATGGGAACCGGAGTCTGGATTTCCAGGACCCATGTAAAAGCCAGGTGGTATAGCAGCCTACCTATGATTTCAGCATCCAAGGGGCAGACACGGGGAGTCTCTAGGGCAAGCTGACTGAGTAGATAAATGACGAGCAAAAGAGCCTGTTTCAATATCTGTAAGGTGGGGAGAGAATCGAAGATGTGTGACATCAACCTAGAGCCTCCATAAGTATGCACATGTATGTATACATGCACCCCCATGTATGAATACACATCTGTACATGCCCCCACACCATGTCCAGGTCATATGCACGTTTCTGAAAGAATTATAGGATAAAGTAAAAGACAATCAAGCTGGCTAACTATGTAGCAGACTGAAAGAAATCCAAACCACTCGGCACTAGGCAGTTACTACTAGAAAACAGCGGGAACCCGGTAGCCACGCGGGTCCAGTGGATCCTCACCACGTCCATCTCCATTTGCGAATTCTAACCATCGTCACTTTGTCATCAGCGGCCACAAACTGCTGTGTTTAAGGCTACTCATGGATGTGAATGAAGAGGAGCCAAGATTGGTGACCCAATGCGTGTAATCCCAGCTGGAGTGGAACAAACTCTACGCCTTTTGGTCTCAGCTCTCGCGTTGTGCCAGGTTCACCTAATGTCATGTTCTTTGTATTCTTGCTCTTTCTGTTATTATTTAACTGTTTCCAGATGCCCCCTAATGACAGCACCAGCCTGTTCTCTAGTGTCCAAAGCATGAGAAGGCTGTGGCAGACCTTCACAGGGAAAGTATGTGCTGGATAGTCGTTCATCCGGTGTGAGTTCCAGTGGCCCTGGCTGAGGTCCATGTTACTAAATCAACAAGATGCTTCCGGTGTCTGGAAACAGAAGAACCCAAGAGAAGAGGTTTAGTGTTGTTCACTAACAGAAATACTTGTGCCAGAGGCTCACGGGAGCCTGATCTTACATCTCCTCTCAGAGCAACAACTCAGTTCTTGCTGTCCAGGGTCTGAGTTATCTTTGGAACTAGTGAAGATGATGAAAACAAAGTGTGCACGTTACATGTTTTTATATGTTGTTGTCCTATGGGCAAGAGAGTTGAATTCACGTCCAGAGAGGAACAGGATGCTGCAGCTTGTGTGCTAGACTGCTAGCTCTTGGGAAAATGTAGATGATCCCATGGCAGTCCTGGTAGACCATTAAGAGGTATTGAGTCTTGTGGATGAAGACCTAGGTGGATCAGAGCTAAGACAGCAAGCTGGAAACTAGAGGGGTAGATGCTGACTTTGTGTGAGGGAGAGAGACTGTGGTATTTAGAGTTCTCTGACAGGAGAGGCAGACTTAATGTGCTGGTTTGAATGACAGCTGTCCCTCAGAGTCATGGGTGTTTGGACTTGGTCCCCAGTTGGTAGCACTATTTGGGGGGAGGGGTTCGGAGGCGTGGTCTTGCTGGAGGAGGTGTGTCCCTGGCAGCAGGCTTCAAGCATTTAAAGACTCTGACATTTCTAGTTGTCTCTCTCTGTTTTGTGATTGTGGTTTAAGAGGTGAGTTTTCAACTTTCTTTTACTTCCACCACGCCTTCACCACCAGAGACCCTAACCCTCTGGAACCATAGGCCCCAACAAACCCTTCCTTTTATAAATTGTCTTGATCGTGGTGTCTTATCACAGCAACAGAAAAGTAGCTAAGACACTTAGTCAAAACAAAACACAGCTGGGTAATGGTGGTGCACGCCTTTAATCCCAGCACTTGGGAGGCAGAAGCAGGAAGATCTCTGTGAGTTTGAGGCCAACCTGGTTTATGAGAGCTAGTTCCAGGACAGGCTCCGAAGCTACAGAGAAATCCTGTCTGAAAAAAATAAACAACAACAACAACAACAACAGCAACAGGCCATATACAACCCCTCCCAACACACACACCAAACTCAAACCTAAAGTCAAATGAAACAAGCAAAAACCAGAACATAGTCATGCGGATGTAGTTTACATGGGTCAGACCACAGGGAGGACGTGAGGGTGTGCATTTGGCACACACCAAGAGAGGAGCGGGAGGAAAGGGGCTGTTGAGCGTGGAAACGATAGTGTGAAGGGAGACAGGGGTACCCCGAGCCTTGTGGATGGAAACCCAGATAGGTCAGAGCTAAGACTGCAGACTGGAAGCTGGAGGGGTACATGCTGAGTTTGTGTGAGGGAGATTTTGTGATATTCAGAGCTCTCTGACAGCCAGGACGTGAAGTTAGTGGTCCATAGGGGTCCATCCACTGCGGACACAAGTTTACTATGCTTTCTTAAAACAGTGGATTTAAATGTTCCTTGTTCCTGCACCCGGTTCTGAAGCCTGCAGCATCCCGTGTGCTTTAACCCCAGCACAGTTTGTTATGGTTTGCCGCACTCTACGCTAGGGTGACGGGTATAGCAGATGCAGGTAAGAATGAAGTCACAGTTTCAAACAAATGATGATTTCTAGCATGTCCCACACAGAACTCAGTTCCCATTTATGCTTATATTCCGGCATTTGGTGTTCACTAATACGGCTCTGGGTTTCATCTGGCAGCTTCACCCTGGAGGCTTGGACACTGCCTGCTGAGCAAGTGGACGCCATATCTGGGAAGTACTCAGTCTTGTCTCTGAGGAATGCATGGGATACAAGAAAGGCTAACGTGGTTTTAGTGTGTCTTGCCCTTTGCTTTCCTGAGACGCCGCCGTTTCAGAGAACGCGATTGAGAGTAGAGGGAGGTAACCGTGCTGTTTGGGGTGCGCCTGCTAGATGGGATGCCAGCTCTCGGCTCTAACAGCAGAGTCAGTGATCTTCTCTCCCAAAAGGTCTGGAATCTATGAGGAGAGGACAGATAGCTTCTGACCTTTAGCATCCAGTGCCGGAGAAACTTCTTTCAAGCAGAGTTAAGAGGCGCGCGTGTGTAGAGTGAGGACGGCCTTTCAGAACCAGGGCGGACGCTGACAGGCCTGTTGTTTGATGGGCATTGTTTTACGTCTCAGCAGCCATGGTTTGCGTCTCTCAGACGCTGCACAGCCGTCCTGACACTGCTCGCCTGTGTTGCTGCCAGAATTGCCTTTCTGGTGGCTTTGAACACTCTGTGATGAACACCTAAGGAGCAAAACAGCAGCTGCTACGTGAGAAGAGGCCGTCGCTAACTCACTGCCTCAGTTTCCCCAGTGGAACACAACTGGTAAGATTTCTGAGGTCATGTCAAGAAACTGCACTTTTAAAAGCCATGTCAGTGACCTTGGGTATCGAACACTTTTTTCAGTGTCCTCTCTGGCCCCTGGAAAATTCTAATGTGTTCAGTGGAGAACACTGGGTTCGGGGCTCTTGTGTTGGAGGTGAGGCAAGTTAGCTTTTTGGAAGGGTCCAGAACTGGCAGCGCAGTCGACCCTCTGAAGCCCAGTGTGCAGCTTCCCACTCTTTCTCCTCGGTGTGTGTCTCCCTGACTCTCGCCCACCGTTCTCAAAGTCCTCACTGACAAAATGAAAGAAAGGGGAACCTAACAAAATAAATTCTAGGCTTGCAATATGCATTGGAGTTTAGCGTTCTCATGCGTCGTCATGGGTGAAAGACTAGAGAAGACATGAGCTTTGCCATTGAAGGGATTACTTTTACCCTTTATTACTTATAAAACCCGAGTGCAAATGCAGATAAGAACCTGAGACCGTTACCATGGTAGTGATACAGCCACCACACTGCTTTCTGGCTCCCAAAAAGGACCAGGCAACATTCTGGCCCCGCCTATCCAACTGGGGGTCACTCTTTCCCTCACCCTTGGCCCTCCAAGGACTTGTTGATCCATCCCAGTCAGCTGAATGTGAACTCTGCCTATTGAACCTAATGCCCAATTCAACAGGATAACGAACCACGCCAGTAACAGAATTCCTGAAACATGCCATCTCTTTTAAGGACAGGTGCTTCAGCATTTCCCCAAGCTCTCAGATGCCCTCCAACGCTCTTAGTGATTCTATGTCCTCACCAGGATGAACTAAGTGAAGCCTTAGGGGTTGCTCAGAGCGTAAAGACTCTGCTCAACTCTCTTTCAAATGCAACCATAGAGTAGGGACAAGGTGCCACGTGTCCTTTCCACTGCAAGCTCGGCACATCTGGATCCCAAGTGAGGGACACGGGACCACAGGTAGCTTGGTTACCTCCAAGTAATATGTTCTTGCTCTCAATAGGTCTCTTGTCTCCTGAGAGCACTCACAGTGGAACCCCACTTCTCCCACCTTTTACATCTTTCGGGGTCCTGTACCCACACTGCACACTACAGCTGCTATGAGTTGAATGACTGAGCTGGCTCTGAGGGCTTTCGGAGCATAACTGTCCTAAAGAAATTCCACTTCTGCTACTCTCTGCATGGCGAGCGTGTTCCATTTGGAATCTCTTCTGACGTGTAAATTCGCTTACTTGTGTAGACAGAGCACTACGCTTATCGAGTGGGTTGGGAAGAAACAGATCGTTAGTATAGGCACTCTGTACATGGCAGCTCTGATATTTTGTTGAATTAATGCAAAACACAAGCAGAAAGAGCCATCCCGTGTGAGTGTGATTTCCCAGCCTTCAGTGCACTTTTATCTGGTTTTGCACAAAGGTCTAGACTAGCTATCTGACAGATGAACTGTTCTGTGTAACTGCCCACTGTGTGGGGTTCTAGATGGTTGGTCCCGAAACACAATTAAAAGGCACTATAGTCAGCAGTGGGATGCATTCCAATTCTTTTATTTATGATGCCTATTTGGACACGAGCCAGCCAGCCTGCAGCCCTCAGGGAGGACTCTGTGACCCCGTTCATGCCGTCACTCTGTGATGCGGCGGAGTGACTGGACGGCAGGAGAGGTTGCACCCCAATCGATGGGCTTCCGGTATTCCTTCTTGTCCAGAAGATACTGCCTGCCACGGTAGTTGGGTAGCTCATAGAAAATCCAGGTGCCTTCTAGAACCTTACAGGAGTGGACCTCTCGCATCCGAAACTGCTCCATGGTGGAAGGGCAGTCTTCTGTGGTTTCATGCATCTGGCCATTGAAGTCGCCCTTTTCAAAGAGCTGAATCTTATACTGACCTCCACTTGCCTGAGGAACAGCAACAAAAAGAAATAAACAGCCATTATTAAAGAAATCATTAGCACTTCAGGAACTCAGAGGGCAGCATGGTTCACAGCCTATCACCCTGAAGGCAGGGTCCTCAGATCTGTCTCTACTATAAAAGGCTGATTTTATTAAGAAAAGTATAAGTTTTATAAATATATATGAGGTAGAAAGAGAGTCATAGAACAATTAGTATTTAGTCCACACATGATCTGATTTCAGCCAAAAAGGTTGGGAAGTGATGTCATTTAGTCTAGCGATGAAGTAAACTAAGATTTTTAATCCAGTCAACAAAACCTAACTACCCGCGAAGAAGTAGAAAGACTTAGGAAAAGGTGTGTGGGACAAGTGGGCTCAGCAGTTGAAGAGTGCTTGCTGCTTTTCCAAAAGACCTGAGTTCAGTTCCCCAAATCTACACCAGGCTGCTCATATCTACCGGCAACTCGGGCTCCAGGGGACCCAACGCCCTCTTTTGGTCTCTGAAGGCACCTGTACGCAAATGTGTGTGTGTGTGTGTGTGTGTGTGTGTGTGTTGTGTGCACTCCTAAAAATAAAACCTTAAAAAAGAGAGAAAAGATGTGGGGTTGTGACCACACAGCAAGTTCCCCGACTCACCAAGTGAATAGCTCTGCAAGAGCCCAGGCGGTCGTTGAGGCCCATCCAGCGCTGGTACTCAGGATACTCGCCCTGAGGCAGGATGTACATGTGCCCAGCGAAGTTGGGCCTCTCATACACAGCCCACGTGCCTCCTTCCACTCGGATGGAGTTGCAGCGACTTAGGTAGGAGTAGAAGTCGGCGCAGTCACACTCGCAGTCATAGCGGCGGCCTTGAAAATGTTTGTCTTCGTAGAAACTGATCTGAAGCACAGAGCAAGCAGAGAGCTGAGGAACTGGGCGACTGTGCACAAGGTGAAAGCTCACGCTCACATTGGGACGGCATTCCCTTCTACTGTGAAGAAAAACACACACACTTCTACTTTACCTCACATTTGGCTTCTGGCAATTCCGTCAACAAATGGGATCAGGACTTTCTTAAAATGGGGCGCAATAAGAGGATGTTCTAGTAAAAGCCAGTAGTCGCCGACCGAACTGCGTATTTAAGTTCCTGCAGCCTTCTACTCAGACAGGAAGTGCTGATGCTGGTGCAACGAAGACCTCAGAGTTTTGATGCTCGAAATAGGGGACACCGGACAGGAACTCTGGGAGTTCATCTATCGTTTCTAAATATTACCGTGAAACCCCAAAATAGACACCCCCTAGCCCTTGTTGCACAGTAATTCCACATTCAGAAAAACTGCTGGGTTGTAAGGAAACCGAGAGTTGCGGTTGAAGTGGTTCATTTCTTGGCATTGTGCCGCCACCTTGTGGTTGATTTGATTTATTGGCCTAACAGAAAAGCGTTGTCAATAAAGGAGCAGAGGCGGGGCGTCTTGGCCTCTTTGAGTAAAGGGTGAGTAGTTTTCTAAAAGCAAAGGAGAGGGGACAAGGCCTGTCCAAAGAAAGGAAATACGTGAAGAGCACATCCGTCATGGGAACTAGTGCACAGTGAGTGTAGTAGACCGACCTGGAGTTCGTTTCCTGGGTGCCCGGAAAGACCAAGATCGAGGAGACGCGGGCAGCTGCAACAGCAAAGCACTCTAGGGTCAGATCTTGGCGACTCGTTAGATGGAGAGAAAGGACGTCTGCAAAGAGCACGGGATCCTTTCTCTTTCACCTTGTGTGACTCTTCCCCAGGTGACACGCCCCAAGCTGTTCTATGCCTTAATCTTTCCTGTCCCAAGTCTCTCGCCTCTATTTCCTGTTCCCTATTTTTTTCTTTCTCATAAAAAACAAACAAACAAACAAACAAACAAAAAACATGTGTTTCATTTCCTCCTGTACAAATTTGTTTTTCGGCTCCCTCTCTCATTTGAGCATAGCAGATTTAGAGATATATGGTACCTGTGCACAGATGAGAGGAAAAATTCCAGCACAGCTTACTAGCTATGTGACTTTGAACTGTGTATCAACCCTTCCTTCAGGGGTCAGGGTAAAAGTGTGTCCTACAGAGAGGTGGTCTAAGGGTAAAATGGAAATAATGGTAATCAAGTATAAAGTTTAATACTTGACTCAAAATCGCTCCTGGGGCCCCACCCCTGCCTGAGAAGCTATAGGCTATCAAAGGTTGCTGGGAGAGCGAGTCACAAACCTCGATGGTATAGACACCCTAAGCCAGTTGTTCTCAGTCTTCCTAATGCTGTGACTTCAACACAGTTCATGCTGGGGTGACCCCCAACCATAAAATTATTTTTGCTGCTACTTCGTAACTGTAATTTTGCTACTGTTATGAATTGTAATGTAAATGTCCAATATCCAATCCACAATGGGGTTGCGGACCCACAGGTTGAGAAGCACTTCTCTAAGCTGTCCTGTTCAAATAGCCCACACCCGTGTTCAACCTAGCAACCCTAATTAAACACAATGGGATGCACGCTCACACACACATACACACACACACACACACAACAGTGCACATGGAACTAGCGAGGGGGTTACAGAGAAGAGATTTGATGGGAGTGGAAGGGAAATAGGGGGAATAATGGGAGGTGAATATGAGTAAAGTATCTTATACACATGTGCAAAACTATAAAGAACATTTTAAAAACTGTTTAAAATGCAACTGCTCAGTCTGTATGTTACGTGTGTGTGTTTAGGGCTGGCCATTTGGTAACCAATCAGTGTGCTCTTCCCTGGGGGGTAGACTATTTCCCCCACTCTTAGGCATTCCTTAGTCTCCTGTAGTTCTTTGTGTTAGGTTGAAGTTTCATGAGCTTTCACCCTTGTACCTTTTCCCTCCCTTCCTTCCTTCCTTCCTTCCTTCCTTCCTTCCTTCCTTCCTTCCTTCCTTCCTTCCTTCCTTTCTTGTTTGTTTTCCAAGACAGGGTTTCTCTGTAGCTTTGGAGCCTGTCCTGGCACTAGCTCTTGTAGACCAGGCTGGCCTCGAACTCACAGAGATTCACCTGTCTCTGCCTCCTGAGTGCTGGGATTAAAGGTGTGTGCCACCAACACCGAACTCACCCTTGTACCTTAACAAGCCCATTATTGTCATCCTTGTGCAGGTTAGGCAACCAAAGATCAATGTTTAAAAAGACAGTAAGTTGTTTTTGTTGTTATGGACAAAGAGATGACTTCCAAAGATCATTAGCTATTCAAGGCTGGTTATAAGCCCGTGGGCTGTGCTGCAAACCTCCTGCTGCTGCTTATGTGGACCATTTTCTTTTCCTTCCATCTTCCTATCCCACGTGACTTAACACATCAGCATTTACACTCCAACACCTCAGCAGTACTGACCCTGCATCCTGGAGTCTTATTGTGACCTATGATGAGATCTTCAGGAAAATCGAGTGACTTCTCCAAGAACGGACAGGTTCTACGTGTCAGGTTCTTCATATGCTGAATTTACTTTTGAGCCATGACTTACTGAAAATGATTCCATGGGAGCTATGCTACGGGAAGTAAGGTTTGAGGACTTTAATTCATTGGCTGTCACATTGACAGTCCTCTGCATATTTGCCTTGCAGCAGTATCTGAGAAGTACATACATGCAGAGCCAGCATGTTGTGGGCCCTCCCAGACCAGCCAGTCACCCCGTGTTGACTCATGTGCGTTCGTCTTCCATGGAGCTCCGGCCCCAGCTCTGTTCAGTGGATGAAGGTGTAAGTGTGAAGTCTGCCCACTCTATTGCTAATGGAGAGATGTGTGGCCTTTGGACATAAACTTGTAGAGAAGAGTCAAACCGTGCTGGTTTTCCTAGAAATTACTATAAAATTCCTGTCACGTTTGAGTTTATTTTTGCAAAATTAGCCTACCAATCTAAGCAGGAAAAAAAATCTGGCCTATCTCTGAGGTTAACGAAAACATGCTTAATAAGATCTGTTGCTCATGTTGAGTCAGTGTGCCTCCGAGGTAACCGGTAGCGAGACGGTGAGAAAGGACGGGCAGTGAGAAAGGACAGGTGCTTATTTACATGATGTTGATGCACTGGCTTCCCTCAAGGCTCTTCAGATTCTTCAGTGGGCCCTAAGTGGAAGTGGTGTGTTTTACACTAGACAGCCCTTCTCCCCAACATCTGGATGGCTGTTAGTTCTATTTGTCAATGAGGAAAAAGAGCACCAGGCACTAGCTAGCCAATCACAGAACAAGTTAACAGGAACGGACAACATGCACTGGTAAGCACGCTTCTTGTTAGTCTCAGTCTAAAGATGAGGAGGACACTGTGATATCAATTTAGGAGTTTCTCCACTATACTTGGACCGAACTTTAAAAAGTGTCCCTGTCTCAATAACAATGACAAAAACAAAAACAAAAAAACCCAAACCAAAGCAAAAACTGAAGGGGCTGCTCTAGAGGCGGGGGGGGGGGGGGGAGGGAGAGAGAGAGAGAGAGAGCAGAGAGAGTAAGCAAAGAAAAATAATCAGATAACTAGATGCATCATATGACACTAACATGCCCTAACATGTCTGGGGTCACCTGGAGAAACCAAATATGGTCAGAATATGGGGTATTAGATTTAGGAAGAATCTTGGGGGTATGTTTATTCAAGGTGAAAAATGCACACACCAAAACAAAACAAAACAAAACAAAAACACCCCAACTTTGTTTTTAGGAGCTGCATATCTAAATACCCAAGTCAACAACACAGTGAAGTTAGGTACTCATCAAAGGGCAAATACAGCCGAACATTAGCAATCGGGGTATCAGTGAAAGACAAGTATTTACACATTTTTCTTATTCTTTCAAGATTAGTAAGTCTGAAAGTTTTCAAAGCAAGGAGTTGGAGGAGGGAGGGATCAGGCACCACACACCGACTCCACCCTTCAGCCTCACTGATTACTACAAAAGTTAACAGAGAATCCCTTCCTTCCTTCCCAAAGCCTTGTCTGAGCGGTCACCTCCAGACAAGCAGTTGGGTCAAACGTTGGTGAGGACTCTGCCCAGAAACAAAACCAACTGCTTAAGATTAATTGATTAATACTGCCAGATTAAGTTCACGGGACTGGCCTTTTGGTAATAGTTGAGGCTAAATTAGACATTACAGAATGTTGAGTACATTTCTATTACAGTCTTCATCATGGCCTATTCCTGGTATTTAAATCGTCCGTTGCTGGAAGGTAGCCCTCATGATGGTTTCGGTATTGCTTACCCATACAGTACTTAGCACAGCACCACCGCTAAAGGTGAATCTTTAATGTGTTAGGTGATTCCGCTAGACTAGAAAGCAAGCCGTTCTCCATCTCCTCTTCCCATCCTTGTCCTTCAAGCACTAGTTTCTTCCCCTCTAGACAGAAGCAAGAGCCTTTCTGCACGCTGCTTCCAGCGTGTCCTGAGATGAAGAGCCATGAGCTAAGAAGTCTGTGCGGTGTTTACTCACCTTGGCTCCGGTTTTAGACATTGTAGGTGCAGAGGCGGATTCCACACCTACTGAAGGAAATGCAGGAGTAGCCCCAGAACCGTGGCACAGGGACATTTATACCAGGCTGCTTTCAGGTCAAACATTTGCTTAGTCATGAGAATTGGATCCAAAATTTGAGTCAGTCGTTTACAGTCTATTGATGCTTGCTGGAGAAACAATGGGGATTATGAAATAAAGGCAGGCTTCGTTGCCCGTCTAATGCTCACCCAGCCCTGCTGCATTGTAGACGCTGCTGAATCAAGGAACCGAAATCCAGCCAAAGTTTTAAAAATTCAAAACAAGTTTTTCTCTGTGCAGCTTGTTTTTTCAGCCAATGGCATTCCTAATGTCTTTCTATTCTTCAACAGAGAGCACAGGAGAACCCAAAGACCACCCTCTACTTCAGGGTCAAAGTGAGGTTTCAAGGACAGACAAATTTGCACTTAGAAGTTATGAATGCTCTTGCCTTGGGTGGGCTGGGAGTCACTACAAAAAAAAAAAAAGGCTGGCAATCTAAAAGCTTTTAAGATGGACTATATGTTAGATACGGCTCTTGAATTTGATGTTAATGATAGAGAACAGATGAGTCAATGTGGCAAAATGTTAACATTGGTATTCTAGTCAGAGAGTAGATGGGGGTCAGTGTCCTGTTTTGTTTGTTTTTTTAAGAATCTTACTATGTTGTGTGCGTCTGGTAGGCTTGGAGTTCACTTTGTAGTTGAGGCTGGTTTCAAGGTCATGGCAATCCCGATTCCCAAGTTCCGGAATTACAGGCTTGCCACACCAAGGTCAGCTCACCTATTCTTGCAAATGTCACTCAAGTTTGAATTTTTTCGCAGACACAAATTAGAAAGAGCTATGGCTCGTAAGAGAGTGCCAACTTATATAGGGACAGAAAGCTGCCTTGAGACTCCAGAAC